GACGTGATTTAACTTACTAAAATTAACAGTTCGTGCACTTTGTCATGCTCTCCCTTTGTAAATACATAAAATGCTTTTGGACTTTGRTACGTTATTATACTACACAATGATTGCAATGAGGTGTCAATCATTTGAGCTCAAAGGTGARAGACTTCTTCTGAAGTACTTCAACCTCTGCATAATGTCGATCGAGTAAGCTTTGTTTATAAATACACCCGCATTTCGCTATTTTTATGTAATCAACGATGTATGACAAAAATACATGTAATTAAATATGGAGCCATTTCTCCATTGTTTTGCAAACATAACTTCAAGCGTTTATGCTGTGAAATTAATTGCAAACAACTTACCTCTCTTTCTTGGTTTGTAATTGCGACTTCCATATCTTCCACTTCAGAAGCCATTTCTTTTGTCCAAAAATCAAGCTTAACTTCAATTTGCAGTCCGAATTTTTAGTATGTCGTTCTGCAGTCAGCTTAGTTATAAGGTGATGTCTTGAAATACCCACATCTGCCAACTCTTTCCTTATTTGACGCTCTCACTCCAGATGGGTAAGGTGGAAAACATATGCAGAGTTCTACAAAGAAGACATGGATCAATGAGATTAGACATGGACGTGAAATTGGCAAATACAAGCGCTCTTTTGCAAGATGAATAGCGATGTTTGTTTCGGTACCTCAAGAAATTAATAGTAAATCCAACGTTGAAACATCTTTTTGAAACTAACAGAGGAAGAATGATTTCCAATAATTCCTCTTGTGTACAGGAAACGAAAACCAAAGTGATTTGTGGTAGACAATACAGTAAAAACACTAGATTTGAAGCAGATTTTCAGCAATTCTTTCCAAAAGCAGCTTTCGTGTCACCAAGTGAGCCCGCGATTTTGACAGTAGAACTTACTAGACATGCGCACCATGATATCCTGCACGAAAATTTCGAAATTTCGATTTTTCGGCTTGGCACATCTAACCATGTATTAAATATATGTTCATATTTTCTATAAACCTGTAATCTAATGTAAAAAAACTCCGTGGTTTAAGCCTAAATGAAAGTTCAGTGATATGAGAGATTGCGTGACTGTTATGTCAAGATGACTTGGAATANTAACGAAAGAAAAGAAAAAATGTGTATTTTAGTTCAACATAAGAATATCTTTTCAAGATGCAGAAAACAACACCCTCAAGTTCATGGTTCTTGCAAAGCTATACCTAATTGTGCAAAGTATTATTTGCATGCATTTGATGTTTACAAGTTAATAAAGCCAAATTTAAACTACAAACCAGATAGAAAATTATATTTTTTAATCAAGTTTAGTTGATATTCTTCGAATTGTTCTCAATTGCATTGAGTGAAGTAGAATGTTCTGTGAAACACAAGGACCACAGGAATCTCGAACAAAGACCGCCGCTTCTTCCTCCATAATTCTAAATGCGAAAGTCCCGCTACAGAAAGTCACACATCACTTACAAAACACGTGTGCCTGGTTACCAAGCGGTCGAGTGAATGACGGTCGAGTGAAAGTTTAGCGTTCAAAAAAAAATCGAGAGTTCGCACTCATTTGAAATCGGGTGTAATGACCACCATTTATTTAACTTGAATGATGCCAAAAGAGATCCCGAGATGGTGCTCGAAATCTGGAGATACTATTAATCGCGCTAATTATAAACGTTAATATCACTTTTAAAATGATCTCCGGATTCCACAGAATACAGAACCCCAAATACTCTTTGGTGTTGATTAGCTTCGACAATTTCAGCTTTTTGGACAACATTTATCAGACATTACTAGGTGTAAATCAATAAATATTTGATCTTTTATAATAGCCCTTCAACTTATTATCATGTTGTTAATACATAACCAAATAAAGTGTGCAATATAAACAGTTAAATTATTCATTTATTCATTTCATTCAAGTAAACTGAAGTCATTTAATCCAGTGAAATTAAATTTGACTACKAGAAGTTTGAACTGACACAAACATAAACAATGTAATTGAAGCATAATAAGATGGCTTAGTGTATGTAAATTTCACATTTCTTGACTTCAATCTTTATAYATATGGAATCTAGTCTAGTTCAAAGAGCTTATAAATTTCCAAGCACACAAGAACTCGAAGTGCAATATATTAAGTTTTGTAGTAAAAACACACAGTCAATTCTGTCTATTACAGACACCCTYGGTAGCGAGAGTCCGAAGTAACGAGAGTTTTTTTCAGTCATTTCTGTATTTTTCACCRTGATTCAGCATTTTACTGTCTGCAATATTGAGGTGTCTATTGTAGCAGGGTGTCCATAAGGCGAGAGTTGACTGTACATGCATTCAACAAAATACTTTTTTTTTTCAAAAAAAAAAACAACAAACAAACAAACAAACAACCACAACAAGCAAACAATGAATTTTAGAGATTCATATCAAAAGATAATTGTAAAAAGAAATTAAATGCTGGAATTACTTAGGCTTCCTTCAAATCTCAAGAGAGAGGCAAGACACCATTAATATTCATTGCAAGATCTTTTTTTTCTCTCTCGTTTAAGATACGTTCATAGATTTGCTGTGTGTTTCTTAAGACTTAAAACATTCTCTTATTTCAGCAGAACAACTGGTCTACCTGAGGTTGTTTATAAATTATTCAAATAAGGTGAAGAAATTTCTGCAGTTTTTGACTTGAAGCAAGTCTAGTAATTACTTTTTTTTATACTCAGAGAGTTTTCCCTCATACATAGGAACTTCAAGGTTAAATGAAGTGCTGTAAATGTAGCAGATACACTATTTGCTGGCCATTTACTTTTGAAAAAAGGTATGTTCTTACATATCTATATTGCTAATACTAAGATCAGTCCCAGCATATTAAATGAAGTGCTGTAAATGTAGCAGATACACTATTTGCTGACTCTTACATATCTATATTGCTAATACTAAGATCAGTCCCAGCATAGTGAATATAACCGATACTTGCGACACAAATGCCTTGGCTGATGGTCCTTCTGTCGGTGAAGGAGGAGAGGTTGGTTTGGTCACTTTTCCATTGGGGTTAGTTCCATTAAAAGTCATCACCATGCAGTTGGACTTRTCTGCATTCTCCTTTGTATAAACGTAGGAAGTATTCCACATTTTGTTGCACAACCCTTCACCATTCTTGAACATTTCACGATAAGTAGTACAGTTGCTATTGGCAGGGCAACGGTTTGAACCATTCGCCAGGAACTCATATCCTGTCAGTACATCATCAACGCAAATATGGTCATCCTTGCAGGCTTCAAACCATCCGTCACAAACACTGGAACATATCGGAACACCTACAGAGAATAAAAAAGAGATTCAATCACAAAAGTGCCAAAATAGCAAAATGTGTAATATTCACTGAAAAGAAAGATTCTGCCATTAAATAAATAATAAAATGAATGAATTCCAGATTTAATATAAGGAAGTGAATTTCAATACTTGCCATGGATTGCACTTCCTTCCTTGGGATGCTGCCATTTATAAACATTTGGTGAACACTGATAGAAGCATTCCTTAAAAAAAGAGAAACAGCATATTTTTCAAAGTGGAAATCAACGATATGAAGATGGGGTATTGGTGCGTGATAGAAATGGAAGGGAAAGAAAGAATGGAAATAATGTTTTTAACTGAAATGTGATACAATTGCGAAAAAGTGTAATTTGTGTAATCTGAAAACTAGACTTGAGAGAGTAAGCCTGGTGTAGGCTATGCTGATCAGTGTAAAATCGATCGACAARTAGACCACGTGCCGGCCATGAATAGCGTACACGTGCTGCATGGGGCAAACTCGAAAAATCWCTCGGTAAACTAAGATCGCTTWAATTTACCTGTTGAAGCCAATACTTTTCGCATGGTTTACTGAGCTCTTTACACAAATCCCACGTGTGATTGTACAGCTCTTCGGTTCTCGATTTGTTCAATTTTACGGTGAAGTCTTTCGTACAACATGTATTTTCTCCGTATTCTTGGCAGATTGGAAAATTGCTGCCTACTCCAGGAGATGGCTTGTGGTATTTTCCTTTAATACACTGACCATCGGCAGAAACAAGTRCGGCACTCAAGATGAATGCACCGACAACAGAAAGAAGGAAGGCGCTGGCTGAAGCCATGTTTCACAGCTGGGTTCTCGTCTGAAATTATAGAATTAAACAACGTTCAAAATATTTCAGTTGCGACATWATAGATAAAATTTTGTTTTGAAGTAATCAGCGAGCTTTACAGAGAATACACTGATTTATTTCTGCAGTGAATCACATTTTACTCACCTATACTCCAAACACGTGCTTATATCACTATGTACTTTGTGTACTAGGTGTTAGGTCTAACTTCTTGTCTCGGCCCGTTGGCTTGGGGATTAGTGTTCAGCCTCCAGTCGGTAGACCAAGCAACGCCTGTCAGTTTTTAAACCTGACTTGGTCAGCAAAAGCAAAAGTGAAGAAGTGAAGTAATTTAAACCTTGGACAATATGTGACAAGGTGTAATTACCGTCTTCATTGATAAGGAGAATTMAGTAATAGAACACAAATATATAATTTTTTTCTAAGAAAGAATGAAGTCGAAAAAGCGTAAAAATGATGAAGGTAACACAAGCCCCAACTAAGATACTTGATGAAGTTAGGGTCCAAACTTCTCAAAATTCGTTGAATATTTCGAATTTTGCCAAATTCAATTCAATGTGTCCTATTTTATCTTTGTTTAGGATCAGTTTCGAAGAGAGCTAAGAAAGGAAAGACCCAGGTAAACAAGAATTTGTAGTTTTCTTTAAGCTTATTTAATCGAGATGACATATAATGTTTCATTCCTTGGAAGGTTGATGATGATGATTGCGATGATGATAATGATGATACAGAATCTGTGGGTGGTGAAGGTTTGTTTTGACATTATGTTGCCTTAAAGTCTGTTACCAATGTAATATTTTCTCACCATATGTTGTGTGCTTGATTTCTTATACAGGAGAATTCATACCCAAATCTTCAGGTGCTGCCCTGAAGGAGGAGACTCATGAGGTTCAGTAAAATAATGAAATTAATCTCTAAAATGAATAATTATTTTGATAAAGGCTTGTGATAATATTGTTTATTATTTTGATTGTAGGATGAATATGGTGCAAGAGATTACAGACAAGAGGTACAGCTAAAGAATGATCATTCATCAAGACCTCTTTGGGTGGTATGTTAGCAGTCTTTTCAACTATACTTTGATATATTATTTTTCTCTGTATACCCATATTTGTATTCTCTACAATTTTAATGGGAATAACTTTTTTGGAAAATGCTTTCTTTATCAATTCCACAAAAATACAATATATTTTTTTTGTATTTGTTTTAGGCACCAGATGGACATATATTTTTAGAGTCTTTTTCGCCAGTTTATAAACATGCTCATGACTTTCTTATTGCCATTTCAGAAGTGAGTGGACTGTCTTGCTTTTTTTTAAATATTATCTTTTTAATTGATTAAAAAAAATTCTTTATTTTTAGCCTGTCTGTAGACCAGAACATATCCATGAATATCGGCTTACTGCATACTCTCTATATGCCGCTGTATCTGTTGGCTTACAGGTATTAAGAAATAAACATATATTTCTTACATAATTATAAGAAATTGTTGTAGATTTGTTGCACTCATTAATCTAACTGACTTTTTACAGACAAGTGATATCATTGAATACTTAAGAAGGCTTAGTAAAACAACTATTCCTGAAGGAATTGT